AGTTTGCCGAATTCTTCAAGAAGATCCGCACCACGGGAGAATCGCCCACTCCTGACGACGTGATCAAGGTGTGCAAGATCTTCAAGGATGACCTGACGCTCGACAACCTGTCCCGGCCCCAGCTGGTGGGTATCTGCAAGTACATGAACCTCAACTCTTTCGGAACGGACGCCATGCTTCGGTACAACATCCGCCACCGCATGCGCCAGATTAAGCGCGACGACCGCGCCATTTTCCACGAGGGTGTGGAGTCTCTGTCTGTTCCTGAACTGCAGATGGCATGTGCCTCCCGTGGTATCCGCACGCACGGCGTGTCTCCTGCTCGCCTGCGCGAGGACATGTCGATGTGGCTGGACCTGCGTCTCAAGCAGGGCGTCCCCTCGACCCTTCTTGTGCTGAGCAACGCATACGTCTACGCCCAGGGTGGCAAGGAAGCCGAGATGTCGTCCCAGATCGAGGCTCTCCAGTCCGTCTTGTCTAGCATTCCTGAGGAGCTCTTCCACGAGATCGAGCTCGAGGTTCACAACGCCGAGGGCGCCGCCACCAACAAGCAGCGTCTGGAGGTCATCAAGGAGCAGCAAGAGCTGATCGAGGAGGAGAACGAGCAGAACAGTGAGAACGAGGAGAAGGGCGTCTCTGCCCCCAAGGACATCGAGGATATCGATGACAAGGATGACGTCAAGTACGAAGCCAAGTACAAGACGCAAACGGGTGAGGCCAACGAAGCCGTCCAGGAGGGCGAGAAAGCTGAGGAGGCACAACAGTCTACCCAGGCTAAGGAAGAGAAGAAATAATCGCAACCTTCCTTCTCTTTTTGCTTCGACAGGGCGTTTATACCGCGTTGATGAACCGTGACATAGATCTCTTTTCCCCTCTTGATCCCTACGCCTATACTCTCTACTTTCTCTCCCTTTCTTTTTCTTCCCATGTGTTAGTGTGTATACGATAGACTCTGTTCGCTTGTTTGTTTATTTATTCGTTTCATTCTTGTTTGTTTTCTGGGATCCGTGGTTGGACACCATCGAGGTTGGATCTCTTATATCCTTTTAAACCAGTCTTCTTTGTGACGTACCGATACTGAAATAGATACTTAGTCGACTTGGACGGTTGATCTGGACAAAAATATGACATGGATATTAATTGATATTACCTTAATCTTACCAAATATTCCTACTGAATGAGTTCCTGATTATTCAACCCATCGGGTATTTAACTCCAGAGTCAGCGGCTCCTGCGTAAGTACCTCGGCAACAAACCCGATAACTCTATCAAGTGACTACTCTCCGTCCGTACCTCCACCAAACCAACTAAAGTATCAATCCTGCATCAACACATGGCCAAGTAACGAACTAGCCAATCGATAGATAAACCAACTATTTAATCCATCCCCCTTACATTTCTTCTCTTCTTTTCCTCCCCTGTTCATTGTCTGCAATGCGAAACCCTCTCCTCCTCCATCACCGGCATCATCACATACTGCAGCACCAATTCTACTCTTCCCGGATCATTCTCCCTCGCCCCTTCACCAGTCACACTCGCAACATCGCAAATATCACTACTACCACTACCATGCCCCCTCTAAATCCAACATCCCAGGTACAGAATCCTACAATTTATATTACCCATATTTATATATTTCCTGTCATTTACACAATACACCACTTTCCCCCCACCCCAAATTCAAATGACGTAACACCCAATTGATATCCAACAATCAACCGAAAATAGCCAAGCCACTCTATAAGCATATTGAATACTACCTAAGTACTTAACTAACAATGTAAATTGCAGAAAGCCATTGCCAGATTAAGAAACTACACTCCCCCGCCAACAACCTATACCTCGGTGCCGTTGTCAAGGCGCGCCGCGGTACTGGTGCTGCTGTATGCGGACCAGAAGGGGGACTTGAGGGTTGTGTTGACGATGAGGGCGGCGACGTTGAGGTCTTGTATGTATACCTACGTACCCTTTTCCTTTAGTAATAGCTTGCTTTTCGTGTCGTAGGTGGAATGAGCTATGTACAGTGTGGCTAATTGTGATTATGATATGGCAGATGCCGGACAGGCTGCTTTACCGGGTGGTAAGTTCTCTGTCTCTCCTTCCACTCCTCTCTATTCTCGCATGGCACAGCCATCTCTCGAGGGGGTGGAAGTGTGTGTGTGCTACGTACGATGATAGATATCTACTTATGATCTACCGTAGCAACATGCTATATGCTATATCATAATGATATCAAACTAATACACAGAAACCCAGGTCGCGCCGACTCTCTATCCGAAACGCCCATACAAACCGCGCGCCGCGAAGCAAAAGAAGAAATTGGCCTCCCCGAGCACGACGAGCACCTACCTCGGCCCTTCACGGTCGAGCATCTCTGTGAGTTCCCAGCCAACCTAGCGCGAACGGAACTAGTCGTTCGGCCATGTGTGGCGCTACTGCATTCATTTGATGAGCGGACTGGTGAAAATGCCGATCCTGAGGTTTCGCTGATCCCGAGGCTGGATCCGCGCGAAGTCGCGGCTGTGTTTACTGCGCCGTTTCGTAATTTCTTGAGCTGTAGGGATATGGAGGATTGGGGTGATGGGGATCCGACGGATTGGTATAAGGGGGCTTGGACGGAGTGGCATCAGGAGGATTGGAGGAGTAAGTATCATCTTCTTTTTTCTGTTTGTTTGTTTATTGGGCTGTATTATGGTGAAAATGGTGGTGATGGTGGTGGCTGACTAGGAATAGTGCATCAATTCTTCGTCCCTGTTCGGCCTAAAGAGGTGGTCAAGCCGAAGAAAAGGACAGAAGAACAGAAAGAAGCGGTTAGTCGGTTGGAGGAGCAGGAGAAGGCCTCTCAGGTTACTCGGTACCGGGTGTTTGGGATGACGGCGCGGATGTTGGTTGATGTGGCGCGGGTCGCGTACGCCGAAGAGCCCGAATTTGAGCACAATAGCCACTTTGGGGATGAGGCGATCATTGAGAAGTTGCGGAAGATGGGCCGGTTAAGTCCGATCCGGAGGACAGGGGATCAGTTGACGAGGCGGGATATGGAGATGGCGGCTAAACTTAGTTGATACTTACTTATCTGGATGTGTTGGAGTAGATGCTGCGTTGATAGCCTCATATTAGAGATCCATTGATACGTCGATACTTAAGTCTAATTACAACTCAAGCAAGTCCGAACTAAACATATAGAAGATACATATGTACCTCTTGCACAACTCCCGTGGAACATCACCACGCGAGTTCAGCATCACTGGCTCAACCACAGTCATATCAGCACACAGCCCCTGAGATAGTTACAGGCCCCTCACACATCCAGACAAGACATCAATCCCATCCCATGCTCGGCGGCTTATCTCCCTCCTTGGTTGCCCATTGATACCCCATTTGCCTGCTGCAGGTGCCCATCCGGACGGCGCTAGGCAATGCTTGGGTATTTGCAATCGTTGTGATGACATCCCACCACACGCATGCATAACGCAACCGATGTCGTACATCTTGCAATCATACCTATCGGTTAAAACCGCTATGCAGTTAGTTAATTCCCCATGTTATGATTGATACTTATTTCCGAATGTATGTTTCGTAAGTTTCATTTGTTGGTTGCACAAGATGGATAGGACACGGGGGGATTTGTCACTGTGGAGTGTGCGTATGCAGGTTGATGTTGAGTGGCTGATCGGTTTTGACTCGGACTATTTAGTGATGTCTGATTGCAGGGAGGGGTGGAGTGGTGATAGATGATTGACAGAAGTGCCTCTGTCTGATGAGCATATTCTGGTAGAGTCAAGGTTGGATTTGAGTATCTATGAGCGAAACTTCTAAGTGTAGATGTGGGTATATTGGTAGAGGATGGATAGCTTGTGTGGTCTGCGCTTCATTGTGATTTGGTCAGTGGAGATGGTGCACTACTCTCTGGGTCGTTTCGTGATTGCTGTCTTGATATTGACCTGGGATGAGATGTCATCGCTTCAGGTGAGGGAATAGCGGAAGGGAAATTGTCAGTGATTCTTCACTGAGATACAAGACTGATAAAATTAGATGTAGATGCCAGCACTTCGCGTGAGGTGATAAAGAAGACATGTTGACTTCGATGTTTGCCTGGGGCTACTGCTGCACGTGGCCAGGTCTGCTCGCTCATGGGACCAGCTCGATTGGCTTTGATACTGCAGCTCGCATTCTTGGTCCTAGCATGCGTCGACCTGTCTGGCAGGGGCTCAAGCAATTCCAGGCGGCGATTAATGTTAACTACAATGCTGGAATACTACAGCCAATGCCAGGTTATTCTCACAATCAGCCACTTGGTATTACAGTGAGGGTCTTGAGTCAGCCTGATTTCAATCATGACCAAGGCCCAAAGTAATACAGTTACTCCTCCATACTTTCAATACTGGCCCGACCTCAATGGACTCTCGGACCGTGTGGCATGCCCGTGATGAAAGTCACTCAAAATCCACTATGATTTCATGTTATCACTTGCCGCCAGCCACATGAGTCTCTGGAAAAGCTACTAGTGCGGAACGTCTCATGGAGAGCGTATTAGGGTTAGGAATGCCATGCTTGACAAACCTTGTCTGCTCGCCTAACGCGGATGAGAGTAAGACATCCCGTACAACAATACTAGCGTCATTAATCTCTCATTGCTGGTGGTGGAGATTGGCCCATGAGCAAGCTTTGCCAGCAGTGCTAGTCTTAGGAAATGAAAGCAAGACTTCCGTATTCCCGAGAATGGGCATTCGCGCGAAACCTGCAATATCGCAGGTACAATGGGAAGGCTGCCAGCTAACCACTGACACTGATTGGCTCGCATTGCCTGCAGCAACATGGCTTGGCTGCCATGGGACCAGCCTCAATTCGACAGTGATCTGAAACGGGTCGGGTATGCCCGTGAGTGGAATGCTGGGCCGCTATCTTGAATGCTGGCGGTGGATAGCCTGATCTTAGAGGCCCCACTCCGCCTCTAAGCTTGAACGATTCCAGAAAACTCGCGTCTTCGTGCATTCTCTCTTGCCTCATCATGAGCTCATGCTTATTGCTGGATCGGATCAATCGACTGAGTTGTCGTCTCTGTGGAGCTGCTGAGATAGCATAGTCAGCGCGTACCGCGACAGCCAGCCTCTAGCCATCTCCACCGTCTAATCAGTGATCAGCTCCCCTCAGGCTCAGCTGCACCACGATTCGATTGTGTCCGAACTATACCCGCCCGGGTCCGTCGCACCGTTCAGGTGCCCAATATCTCTGTCGCGACGGGCGACTGTGGAGCTGCTGTTTTGGCGTCCTCTGGGCCATCTCCGGTCGAATGGGGGCCATCAGGATAGTTGCCTAGACTCCGATGGGGCTATCTAGCGTGACCACGCAGCAGTATCCCGAGCGGAGGGAACGAACAGTGGAGGATGGGAGGAACGAGGCGTATCGCGGCGTGGACTGTGAGACGCTGGGGATGACCTATCCAAAGAATGCTGAGAGCGAGACCGGCCTGAAGCACGTGTTCTCACTGGATGAACCTGTCATAGAGGAAATGAGTTCAGGTTTACCTCATCGGCAGTAATTTCCTTGCTAAAGAGTAGTGTGGCTGAGGGCCAGATGGATGTTCTGGGAAATGCGAGGCGTCATGTGTCGGTTGGTTGCCGTCCATCTGCTCAGAAGAGAGAAGAGGAATACCGACACTGATCATTCTTGCCTGTGGTGAAGCCAGAAGAATGTCATGCTGGATAAACTATCTTTGTTACCTGTCATATAGTATAGTATATGTACCTTGCAAACTAAGGGAAGAAAAAGAAAGCATGTCAAAGCAAGAAAGAAGAGAAGCAGCTAGGGGAGTAAGTCAACGCGACTAAGGAAACTAGGCCACGCTAAGCGTGCAGAGAAGAGGGACAGAAGCAAAGGGAAGAGGTCTGTCAAAGGCGATCTCCATACCGCAATATGATCTATCTGGTTTTTTTTTTTTTCCCCTACTGTATTGTATGTCTGTCACTTTTCTATGGAGACTTTTTTTTCTTCTTTTCAATTTCTTTTTTATCTTCTCAGTCGAAAGGCTGGGGACACGCCGAATAGTTAAGCCACCATTACGGAATTAAGTTCAATTGAGTGCAGGGATAGAAGAGTAAGCAACGTGAAATGCCAGAAGTTAGATAGCCGAGCAGATATAAAGTAAATAAACGAGAAGAGTAAGAAAGAGTGCGAGCTGAAAGGCTGAAGGCTGTGGAGGAGGGCAACCAGGGATAAGCGGCGTCCAGCTTGCTTTGTTTGACTGGCAACGACCAGCGCGACTAGTTTGTTTAGTGAGTCGATTAGTTGATGATCCAACTAAGAATAACCAAGAATAACCCTCATGAACCATTCAGATCCATTCTGGCTGGCGGAAAGGATCGACTTCCGGGGTTCAGCAATCAGCCATCAGCAAGTAAGCTGGGATCACTCGGTGACTTCAGAGTTGTTGGTGGTTGCGCTTCGTATTCTTCCCCGGCCCTAACCAGATCTTTTCCCCATCCATCAATGTCTGGATCTTCCCATGTCTGTCTCGGTGTCAATGGGTTTTCTAGTTTTCTCACTTCCAAATCCTTCAACCAATATTCTATCGAGAGCTAGAACCAGAATCCCGGTAATTGTAGACGAAAATTGAACGGAAATCACCCTAATGGCGCGCCCCTCAGCAAGCCCACCCACACCACATACACACCACATACACACCCCCCCGGTCCATCCCTTGCATGAGGGTGTCACTCTCATGAGGCTATTCCCGCCCATGATGATGACCACGACGATCCCATCCTGCAGTCCGACCAGGAACTGCCCTTGAGATATGTCGCTTTTTGTTTTTTGCTTTTTTAAATATTTATTTTATTTGGTTTTGTTTCATTATTTTTCTCTGATTTTCCCAATTTTTACACATGGACTGCGCCCCGAACTCCTTGGGATCTAGGGATGAACGGCCGGACCAGCCAGACGGAGCTTGACGAGCTGCATATGGCGACCCTCCCTGATGGATCCCATCACATCCGCTGCTGAGTTCTGGTTGTCGGCCTCGTTCTCCTCTTCCTTCTTCCTCTGATAATGATTATTATTATTATTAAACCCATCTCCCTTTCACTCCATCCCATCGTCTCCCTTTCCTCTCCCTCTTCTTCTCCCTTCTCCCCTTCGTCCATCCCCATTCCTTTACTTTCCCCCTCGTTCTCTTCTTGCTGAACCATGGTCCCGGCGGGTTCTTTATCTCTACACTGCCGGATAAAGACAGTGGCTACAGGCTGACTTGCACGAGTGACGGTCGTGTGATTGTTTGCTTGCCTGCTTGCTGGCCTGTCATCCTGGACGCCAAAAAAAGGTTAAAATCGCATCAAGGCCGGCGACTGGCGAGCAAAGTCGAAAAAGCAACAACGCTGGCCGTGTTCGGGTCACAATTTTGGTACTTCGCCAACGGAGAACATCCCAATCGGGCCCAATTTCCCCCCGGCTGGTGCCTTTCACAGGTTATCTTTCTCGTCTTCGGCTTCTTTCTCTTCACTCCTTCTGCTTCTTGGTTCTGCTTGTCTTTCCCTTGCCACGTTCTCCTCTTTCTTTCCCCCCATCCTTCAGGAGGGGGAAAGGTCTTTTGAGACACCCCTTCCCTCCCTTCGTGTCAACTCTATAAACTATCTCCTGCCACTGCGAACGATATACTTCTTAGTTCCTGGCCCGAGCCACGGGAATATCTCTCCCCACTGCCAACCTCCCCCTCATCTACTATCAGCACATCGTCATGCTTTCTCCGTCCTCGTTGGCACTTCCTAGACAGGCCCCTCCAGTGAGACCCTCTCGGTCCCTGGAGGGGCTGGAGCAAGTCGTCCCTCCTCGAGTGCCAGTGCCCCCCGCTCGCCCGGCACTGCGACATATTGATAAGCCGCTCCCTGAGCTGCCCCCCAAGCCACTGCCTGAGACCCCGTCGATGGATGAGGGCTCCACTGCATGGAGCGATGACAGTAGTACCATCTCCAGCTTCTACGATGACAGCCGACGCTTTTCGGCGGATTCGTCCGAGAGTTACCCTGTTTTTGTCCGCTCTGGTTCGGACGATCTGTCCGAGCTTGTCGATCATCCACCCACTGCCGGGCCCATCGACCCGTACCAGCACGACGACCATCACCATCACCACCACCACAATGACCATCCAAAGTCCGCACCTTTCGCCATCACCACCACCTTCCTCCACGATGACCACTCCGACCGGGCCCAACCCTGGGTCACCAACCGGGCTGGCCCCAACCATTACTTCCGGGAGAAGAAATGGGATTTCTTCCCTGAGCTGGCTACTCCGTCGGCTCTCCCGACATCCCCGCGTTTTCCAACTCACCCCCGCAAAAAGAACGGCAGTAAACTGAACCTCACCGTGTTTGACTTCACCAAAAGCCGCACCCTTTTGAACTCATCGGATCGGAGTGGACGAGCTCTCGCTCAGGATGTGCGCAATTCTATTCGCTCCTACGTGCAACGACGGTTGTCGAAAAATTCGCTGGAACGAAACAAGAGTAGTCGGTCCTCACCCCCCACAGCAGATTCAGTGGATCCTGTGCGCACCCCCACTCCATCGAGCAAGATTACCACAACCGACGAGATTTATCATCCTGGAAGCCCAAAGTCCCCTCTGAGCCCAGTGGATGTCTTACCCTCGAATAAACGCCTATCGCGCATGTCCACTCGCTCAACCATGGGTGCGCGCGGGCCGCACCCGCGACCCCATGCGTCCCAACGGAAGAAGCAGCTGGCAGTGCCTATGTCGCCGTATCAGAAGTACGGTGCTGCGATCTGGGAGAAGCCAGGTCGCGAGAAGCGAATCAGTTACCGACAGAGCCATAACGTCCGGTTTCCCCGCTATCGGAAACGAGGCTCATCAAAGAAGGGCTTTGTGTCCTCCGCAACGCCACCCCTGACGCCACCCGCCCGGTCTCAACTCCAGCAGAACACTCGGGACTGCGTCCGAGCCATTCAAGATGGCACGCATCATATCCTCGACGCCCTTGACGGCGCCAGGAAGAAGATGATCGGGGTGCGCGGGGATCGACGGCACACAGAGCTGAAGTCACAGATTCGACTGGTTGGACCAGTCAGTCCATATAACAACAATTACAGACAGACCGATCCCTGGATTTAGAACGAAGGGCTCACTGTCTCTCTCCAACTTTCATTTCTCGTTTCGTCTCGTTTCCTTTCTATGTTCATGATATCCCATTCGCTTCATTGTCCATGTTATCCAATTAGCCTGTCTCTATTCCGGTCACTCTCTACGTCCTATAACTCTCGTCTTGTCCTGCAACTCTAGTCATTACCGTGATATCCCGTTGGCATTTTCAGGGTCTCTGCTTGGCGTTGGGGATACACCTATAGATGCTTATCTATAGCTACTTCACTTTTTGATCTATTACATTGAGGATACTAGCTTATAATGACCCAATATCAAATCTTACCATCTACAACCCGAAACAGCCCAATTAATCACCCAATAATCGCAGTAATTGAATACTAACACCCACCCCACCCAGAAGAATGCAACCCATAAGATAATAGAACACGTGCATCATCCCAATGACCCTCCCCCCCTTACCGATCCATCTCCAATACCTGCATATGCAGCAACAGCACATGATCTGTCCCAGAAATTCTCCTGGATCAAATGTCTCTCACCCCTTCCCCTTATCGTATCTAACCCTTGCCCTGTCTTTCATCCCTAGTATGAATCTAAACACAATATCTATATCCGTTGACAGCCATAGACATTTGTAATTAGCAAATGAAACATCATACCATGGAATCAAACCACCTGGATCATTTCTCCGTAGTCTAAATTAGGGGTCAGGTCATCGTGGCTTAGCTGTATCTGTGGATGTAAACATGTATGTGTGTGTGGGTGGGAAAATTGTACGACAGCTGTGCATATCGACCCTTGCTTCGATTTACTCCTTTTGACTATAGTACTATCCGCTTGGTGGATGAAATGTTTATTTTGTGAGATCATAGTAGAGGGTATTATAGATCGTAATCTAGGGATGGATAATGCTGTGTGACTTTTGCTTATTACTGAGTTGGTGGGCTTGTGTTGCCTTCATTGATATTGATTTTCTATTGATTAGTGTTTGTTATGGATGGTGGATGGGGTGTCGGGATTTGGACGTTGTGTATGGTGTAGGATTAGGTAGGGAGTAGGAGATAAGATGAATGTGAAATTTCAATGTGTTTTGGTCTTTATGGTGTATCTGTGTCTTTATTTGTTGGGCTTCTTTTGATCGCATTATAGATTGCTGGATTGAGAATGCGGCCCTGTAGTATACTGACACTGCACAGCTACGTGGGCAGCGTTATAGGGTGTGTGTGTGTGTGTGTGTGTGTTGTCAAGATAATTGATTAATAGGAACAAATAGTAGGTCATTGATATTCCTAAATGCAACCCTATGTACTCCTTAGAGCTAGGTCATGATAAATAAACAAGGCTAAACTAAGATAAGGTATTCTATTTTATCCTGCGCCCAACCATCGCCTGTCCAAGCAAACCAACCAACCAACCCACAAGGAACCGAAAAGATAGAGACCCGACCTGACCAATAACTGAAAAGAAAACTTTCACAACTGCGCAACATTTTCCAGGATCTGCACCTCCTGGCCCGGCTTGAATGCCGGCAGTCCGATGAACGGACAGCCCGCGCACCGGAAGGCATCACCCAGGGCGCAGTTTCCACACGAGCCTGTCTTACCCTGCACGGTAAAGTCCAGCTCGTTCAGGTCCTCCGTCTCCAGCTTCATCACGTTCAGAGCCTTGTCTGCCTTCTCCCGCTCGGCTTGCTCCTCTGCCTCGAGTCGTGCTGCGAGTCCGCACGTGCAGTCCTTGCAGGCGCGACGCCGGCGGCCGGGCTTGGGCTGGCATTCGGGGGCTGTGTATGCATGCATAGTTAGCATGGCTCGGATTTCACGACAATTTTTTTTTTTTGAAAAAAGACGTATGAATGAAACTCACGTTGAATAGGTCTCTTCAGATCCTCATCCGACAGCAGTGTATCCTCGTCAATCAGATCATCATCGTTCTCGTAATCGTCATCATTATTAATCATGCCCACGGTGACAGGCTGCACGGGCGGGGCAGGAGCAGGAGCAGGAGCAACTGTCTCTGTCTTCGCAGCATCCTTCTTCTTCCCATTGCGTCGCAGAGGAATTGCGAACGACTTGGGTTGATCCATCTTCTCAAATCCGGCATCGGTCTTGATCAGCCCCGCCAGGACCGCCTCGCGCTCCTCAGCCTCTCCGAAAAAGTTATCCTGAGTCTGTAGCTTCGCTCCGGCCTTCATGCAGGGAACCAACGCGGTGTAGACGTCCCGCGTGAGCAGGTGGAGGGCCTCCGACCGCCGCGTGCCATCGGTGTCGGTTAGGACAAGAATGTGATCGTAGGTGTTGGCGGGCAGAGAGACGAAGCCGGCAGATATGCGGTCCAGCATCTGCAGATCGGTTGTGGAGCGGTCAAAGGCAGTGAAGAGGTCCCGGAGCTTCGCTTCTTGGGTGGCGATGGAGGGGGGCGCGAGGAGGAGAGTGCGCTTGGAGGGGCTGCCGGTCGACATGGGCTGGGGGGAGGGGGCGGGTGCCATGTCGAAATCAGGCGTTGTGTCGATGGTTACGAACGAGGGAGCCATTGTGTCGGTCTACCTGCGAATTCGTCGGTGGAGGGAGAAGGGAGAGGAGATGTTGGGAAATAAATAGAAGGAAGTGAAACTTGAGGTTCAAAAGTGATCAGTGGCCGTAATCGGATGCTCGTTTTGGGTTTCGTCTGGCTGACTCAATTGTCATCTGACGGCGTTGTGATTGGGTGGCGGGGAAAGTGGCAGAGATTGTGTTTGACAGTTATCAGCGAATTTTTGGGGTTATCTGATGATGGGGGATTACAAATCGAGGCACACGCCTGCAACCCCCGAGGAAAAAGCTAGGTGATAGTCCGATGGCGGTGGTGGGATTTGTTTCCTCCTTTAGGAAGTCGATGTCACCGAGTTTAATTTCTGTGAGGTTCTCTGCAACTCCGAGTGATTTTTAGCAGATTTTCTCCCCTCCAATGCCCCGCACCCATATTACTATGGCCGGGTTGCTATTGCCCTGCTCGCTGGCCATGGGAAATTGTCACGGGAATTTGTTGGCCTTTTCGGGTTTAGCGCTACTGGACTGCTGCCCAAGCTGGCTGACTAATGGAGATCCCTCACAACCCCGCTTGTTCATGATGTCACTCAAGAGGATGTCTGCCATCGGCAAGACAAATATAATTATTAGTCAGTTACCGATGTCGCAGTGAAAGGCTCTTATACATGTCAGGAGGCCCCATTATTGGCAAGTTGAGCCAGTTATCTGTTCAAGAGCCGCTGTTTTTCTGCGTGGGGTGCAGCTTTAACCTTAAATTGTTTCCAGAAATGGGAACCCGGAGGGCCATGTACTATATGATCATGTGATATGGATGGTAGTTGATGGTTTATACGACTATATTACTGGGAGAATCAATTACAACAACATTGACTCCGAGGAACAGGTCTCTGATATTGGCGAGAGATGCAAACATACATATGCCGCATTTACATCACTAATTTTCACGCCAATGGCTATAGCCTATTGGAGGGCAGAAAGACTGACCCGAACCTCACTCCACGGCCATCCTAGAGTTGGATCACACCCCAAGAACAACATACTTGCTCAAGGGACACGAAAACAGATTTATTCACACGAGGGATGGGCGAAGCATAATGCCATAATCCTTAACCCTGGACCTTTGCCTATGACATCGCTAAAAGCATTCTACTGTTCGTGCTCTTTACTATCCAGCCTTCCTGGGATTCTAGCCCATGCTACGTTGTTAGTCTTCTTAGGGCTCGATATTTTGTCGACCAATTGTGATGAAGGTACCCAGATGCCAAGGGCTCATTGTGATATTTCGACAAGTCGAAGAGGAAGGCCCAAGTTGTCCTGAATTCTGCTCAGCAACCCAGTCACACTGCCATCGAAGTAAGCAGACATTGCACGGTCCTAACACTCAAGAATTGGTTTCTCAACGGCTTAATAAAGCGATTTGAGAATTGCTGCAAAGCATTGATGCAGGAGGCAATATGTATCTCTGTGCTATGTGCTATAATTCCGTCAGAACTCAACTAGCAAGCGGCCACTGTCGTCAAACACAATGACAATGGACTCGGCCTGGCTATCAATATTGTCCCTGGAACATGAGAGCTTATCGCGGTATATTTGATCGGTCTCAAAAAGTATGCACTTCGATGGCTGGAAGTGGGCAGGCAAGACTCCACTCACCACGGCAGGGTCATACTCGCTCTAGTCGAAAACAAAACTGTTAGCTCGGTTTACGGTAGGTAGAAGGCTAGAAATAGATAATGCATCGTTGTACAGCCTCCGTAAGGTCGGCATGGTCAGCAGGCGTTTTGAACTTGATGAATGTCTACAGTTGGTCTCAAACGGCATACCACACGATCGGCATCTATCCAAACCCAACTGGACTTCACAAAACAATATACTGCTCTCACCGAAATTCTAATATTTCAGGTCAAACGTGATAATAATATCACCGTTCACAAAACATTGTTTTCCAGTCTGCCGCAAAAGGCAAGTGGAATGGCTGACATAACAGCCACCCCGGATCAGCACAGGAATCGCTGCATCCAACGTCATGTCACCTGCCCTGTCGTGTTCCTGGCCGTTTCTGGCGACTCCTCACTTCCCCTCTTCTTTCCTTCGAACAGACTTCCTTCTCGCTCGATCGTTCAATTCGTTTGTATTTATCAAATGCTTTACAATTATCATTCGTTGCATCAAAGCTATTTACCCTAATTCTTCCACTGTGATCTAGACCCGCTACCATGGGTGGAGACGTTCCCCGGCAAGCTCCCAGCGCCCTTCCCCAGACTCCCGCGGGCCCTGTCGGTCAACGCATCAAGAGCATCTACACCGACCGTCTCAAGCAATTCACCGCCACCGGACAGTACGAAGGCCAAAACCTCATATCGTGAGTTCATCCTCAATGTGGTCTCTCTGTACACCTCCTTCACTTTTCCGATCGTTTATTTCACGTCTGAACTATACTAAAGCTCTACTAGCAAGCTGAACGAGGCAGTCAACGATGATGAAGATCATGTCAAGCTTTCAGTATACTCCGTTCCTGACCTCCAACGTCCAACCTTCAAAGAGGCTACCGCCAATGAATTTAAACCTACCCGTATCGGAGCATCGTTCGGACCAAGCTGGTCTACTCATTGGTTCCGCATCCGCCTGACAGTCCCGGAGGATATGCGCAAAAAGGAACGTCTGGAGTTCCACTGGGATGCAAACAACGAGGGATTGGTCTGGACTGAAGATGGTCGGCCCCTTCAAGGTCTCACTGGCGGCAACGAGCGTATCGAGTGGATCATCCCCGATGCTTGGCGGGATGGGAAGGAGCACATCTTCTACATCGAGATGGCATGTAATGGCATGTTTGGAAATGCGCCTGGTGGAGATTCCATCCAGCCACCCAATCCTAACAAGTACTATACATTGCACAAAGCCCAGATTACGGCTGTCAACCTAGAAGCACGGGCGTTGTTCTATGACTTTTGGATCATTGGAGGTATGTTCGGACTAGTAGCTATAGGCAGCTTATACCCCCGCCAGCTGCGAGGTGATAATCATCCTGTCCATGCGCACTGACTTGGTACACTAGACGCGGCCAGGGAATTCCCTGGCGATGGCTGGGAGTCACATGAGGCCAATATGGTCGGTAATGCTATCATTGATGCGTTCATTGCTGGGGAGGGCAGCAATGAATCAATCAAGGAGGCACGCAAGATTGCCCAAAAGTACTTGGGGGAGAAGGTGGATTCTTCGCAGGTGTATGATACCGATACAGAACCCATCGTTTACGCTATTGGGCATTGTCATATCGATACTTGCTGGTTGTGGCCCTGGGCAGAAACTAAGCGTAAGGTTGCCCGGTCTTGGTCAAATCAATGTGATTTGATGGACCGATACCCGGAGCATCGCTTCGCTTGCTCCCAGGCACAACAGTTCAAGTGGCTGAAACAATACTATCCATCGGTCTTTGAACGCGTTAAACAGTGGGTTAAGAAGGGTCACTTCCAGCCCATCGGTGGCAGCTGGGTCGAGCATGACACCAATATGCCCAGCGGAGAGTCGCTGGTGAGGCAGTTTCTCTATGGCCAACGCTTCTTCGAGAGAAACTTCGGAGAACGCTGTACAACCTTTTGGCTTCCGGATACCTTTGGCTACTCTACGCAGATACCTCAGATCTGTCGTCTGGCCGGCATGAGTCGCTTCCTCACCCAAAAGCTCAGCTGGAACAATATCAATAACTTCCCGCACACCACATTCCTTTGGGTTGCACTCGATGGGAGCCAAGTTATGTGCCACATGCCACCAGCGGAGACATACACTGCCAGCGCTCACTTTGGTGACGTGAAGCGTAGCGTGACTCAGCACAAGTCAATGGACAACGACAACACGTCACTCTTGGTATTTGGCAAGGGTGATGGGGGCGGCGGGCCAACCTTCGAACATCTGGAAAAGCTGCGCCGCTGCCGCGGCCTTAGTGACAAGGTTGGCTTGCTCCCTCGTGTGAAAATGGGAGATTCAGTCGATGATTTCTTCGCAAAACTCGAGAAGAAGGTAGAGCAGGGCACTCGCTTTGCCACATGGTATGGTGAACTATATTTCGAACTACATCGGGGCACATATACCACACAAGCCAACAACAAGCGGGGCAACCGAAAGTCAGAGTTCCTGCTAAGGGAAATCGAATACCTGGCTACTCTTGCTACTTTGGAGCAGCCTGCTGATAAGTATAAATACCCCAAGGAGGAAATTGACGAGATGTGGGAGGATGTGCTTTTGTGCCAATTCCACGATTGCCTCCCCGGTAGCAGCATTGAGATGTGCTACGATGACTCCAGAGAGCTTTACAAGAAGGTATTTGAAATTGGCAACAAGGTTCGGAAGGAAGCCCTCCAAGCTCTTGGAGTGGGAAGCCGGAGCGCTAAGAGTCTCGTTGCAATTAACACATTGCCCTGGCCTCGCTCGGAAGTAGTCAAGGTCCCTGCTGGTTTTACATCTGCGGGTGGCCCCAGGTACGCCATTGTCAGTGGCGAAAGTGGTATTCTTCAGTGCCCGCTCCCTACAGCTTCGAGCACAGCGCCTGCCGTGACTGTTTCCGAGATCGAGCCCGGTGTTTTCCGTCTACAGAATGAGAAACTGAGGGTGGATGTCCATAACGGAGTCATCACGTCGCTGTATGATCTAAAGGAAAAGCGCGAGATTGTTGCCAAGGGTGGAAAAGCTAACCAGCTTGTCATTTTTGACGATAAACCACTCTACTGGCAAGCGTGGGATGTTGAGGTCTTCCACCTCGAATCTAGGAAGGAGTTGCAATCCGGAAAGACTACCGTCGCTGAGCACGATCCATATCGTGTGAGCGTGGTCACTGAGACCCGCATAAGCGACAAGAGCTGGATCAAGACGACTATCAGTCTGGCTGCAGCCGTTGGCGACCAGCCATCCTATGTCGAAATGGAAAGTGAAGTTGAATGGCGGGAGACTATGAAGTTCCTCAAGGTCGAGTTCCCTCTCGATATCACGAACACACAGGCATCGTATGAGACTCAGTACGGAATCATTAATCGCCCGACTCACTATAACACCAGGTAATACAGTCTCTGCTTCTATATATACAAATTGCTAACAAGCTTCAGCTGGGACATGGCCAAGTTCGAGGTGTGCTGCCACAAATGGGCAGATCTGTCTGAACACGGCTACGGTGTCTCGATCCTCAATGATTCCAAATATGGGTTCGCAACCTGTGGTAACATGATGCGCCTTTCCCTGCTTCGGGCCCCGAAGGCACCGGATGCTCATGCAGATATGGGTCGTCATCGAATCCGTTACGCGATTCTCCCGCACGCAGGACCCCTGGACCATCGCACCATCCGCGCAGGGTACAGCTTTAACCACCCTCTTGCCCTGGAACCCGCATCCAGTCAAGAAGCAAGCGACGCTTTCAAGTCAATCTTGCTGGACGGTTCTCCTTCGCTTGTCCTGGACACGGTGAAGCGCGGTGAGGACGATGAAGACGTGTCTCGTGATGAACTGCCACGGCGTGCCGGGAAGAGCGTCATCCTCCGAATCTACGAGTCCCTAGGTGGTAAGAGTCGTGGCACCATCAATACCAAGCTCCCCGTCAGGAAGGCTTGGAAGTGCAACATCCTTGAGGATGACGAGACAAGCCTTGTCTTATCCAAGGTTGATGCGCAGACCACGAGCATTGATATCGAGCTGAGAGCTTTCGAGGTCGCGACGTACAGACTACAGCTGTAGTCTCTCCATGCATTGGAAAGGGGAAATTGTCTGTAATTTCTAGCCCCAAGTGACATATCTTTTGAGATGTATAGTCTAGCAGAGCAATGCCGATGCAGTCTAGTAGTACAGAGGATATCACAGACAGATAACAAAACATAGCCGATAAAGCGAAGTCTTCGAACAAATATAATCAGTAGTTTCCCGCGCGCCACAGCTCCCTATCCAACCCAAATATAAACCTACCAACTCCAACCAATCAATCCACATGAAACCAGACGAAGTAAAATAACCTGATATATCAATCCCTCCCATAAGTAATCTTCAACCTCTTCGTAGGCGGCCTATCCCCATCTGTCCCATCATCATCCCCCTTATCCTTGTTACTCGCCGCAGACTTCTTCTTATTCTTCGACGCCTGTCCCCCCTTCACACTATTCGCCGCAGACGACGCATCCCCATTCCCAGGCTTGCCGGTAGACCCATTATACGTCGAGTTCGGAGTCGCGGCATGCGACGGCGTCGTTTGAGCCGATGAAGGTGCAGGTGAATCCTAACCACAAACACACAGTTCGTCAGCTTTACACACATCCAAGAATACCACACAGCCAAACAAAGATGGAGGGTGGATATGAAGTTTTCGAGGGGGTGCATACCCGCATAAAACTCGCCGAACTCCTCGAGAACACACGATCCGCGTCCGACACCGTCGCCTTTCGTCTTGCTGCACCTCCACCACCACTCATACTTGAAGAGAGCGCAATGCCCGCTCCGCCGATCCCTGCGCCGCTGGATGAGCCCTTGATATAGTTGTCGAAGCCTTTGATAATGTTTCCGGCGGTGGTTTCTTCGAGGTAAGATTGTTCGAAACGGTAGATTTGGTCTTCAAGTTGGGCCTGTGCGTAATTGTTAGATTGGACCTTTGGTTCTGGTATTAGTGAAGAGAGTGGGGGCGTACCATGCTCTTGTCCATTAGACGCTTCTTCTGGAGAGTATCGCGGAGTTCGCGGCGGAGTTTCTCGTAGTAGGGAAGGCCGCGGTTCGCGGTAGACGAAGCGGAGGAGTCAGCGGATTGGTTGGGGTTGGGGTTGGAGGTGCTGGTTGATGTTGTGTTGTTGGAGTTATTGTTGGCATTGCTGTTGTTTGGCGTGGGATTGGGTGCTGTGGAGTTGGTGGTCGTGGTGGAAGTTGGGCCTGCTGTGCTGGTGGTGGTTGTTGCTGGTGCTGGGGCGGTTGATGCGGCCGGGGTTGCAGCGGCGGGTTCGGTCATTGTGGTGGTGGGCGACGACTTGCGGTCGCGAGGAAGTGTAGGCTCTGTGGAAATTGAGATGGGAGGTTTGTTTGGGTTAGATGCGAGCGCGCATTGAGGGAGCTGCAGTCAGTGGTGGAGGTGGTTGTCGCGATCTATCTAGAAGCGGAAGAGAAGTGGAAGTGAATGGATTGGATGATGATCGCCGCCAGATCTTATCGTTGCTGTTTGGCTGGTTTGCATCCGCGTCACATTATCGCTCCGTCAACTTACGTACGCCTGGGAGCTGCATCTCCCCATCTTAGCGGAACTCCTTGCTCTCTTTCCTTCTCTGGCTCACCGATCTGGTCTGTAAGCTTCTTTATCTGGGTAGCGGCTTGTGATATATGCTACTTTGAAGCTCGCTACATATACTATACTTAGCTTCACCAACGACTATCTACCTTATTGGACTTGCTACAGCACTTCGAGATGGATCACTCAATGCATGGTATGATGGACATGGACCATGGTCATGACCATGGCGATATGGATATGGGTGACGGACAGTGCAGCATGAATGTGAGTGCCTTCGTTGCTAATCTATCTTATTTCAAGTGCAAGCAGTGCGTGAAGTGGAGCTCACCATAGCTTGTTATAACGCACTATCCTCCTAGCTCGTCGTTTATCGGTCTGGCTAACGGTGCTTGCTAGATGCTGTTCACCTGGTCTACGAAGAACCTCTGCATCGTCTTTCCCCAATGGCGCATTACCAGCACCTGGTCCCTTCTGGGTTCGCTTATTGTCATCGTCCTTTTGACAGCCGGCTACGAGGGAATTCGACAGCTCACAAGGCGGTTCGAAGCAGCTCATGCTAGAAGGCTGAGTGCATATACTACGGTTGCTGTAGGAGGTACGTACTTTTCAGTTCCTATTATGTTTCCTGTATAATGTATGGCGGGGATATTGGAGTCATGGTTTCTTCCTCATCTTCGAGCGCTGGTTATTGGTTTGGCCCAACCTTTGCTGAGATGAAGCACCTGACACCGTGAAGGCAGCGAGGTCCACGACGATTCTGCCACGGCCAATGTCCCTTCTAGCCAGACGCTGCCTGCCCCGAATACCGGCTCACCCCTAGTTGTAGGCAGGGATAGCCGAAGAACCGTCGAGCAACGAGGCAAGATCACCATGGCGGCATTGTATGCTGTGCAGGTCTTCTATAGCTTTTTCATCATGTAAGTCTTCTAATCTCTCACTATTGGCCTCCTCTTCGAGTTGGACGAGTTCTAAACTGTTCAGGCTGCTCTTCATGACGTACAACGGATTTGTCATGCTCGCAGTTGCTGTTGGTGCCTTTGTGGGATATTTGGCATTTGGAGACAATACATCTGCCAGCAAAACAGTTGCTTGTCATTAGTGGGCCGCAAGCACGAAGGCTTGCCAGGAGTACTGGCGGAAACTCGGCATATTCTCAGCAATAGCTTCGTTGGATAGCTGTAGTCGTCTTGTCGTTTGTAAACAGCAGCAGTTGCATACTCGTCCAATGAACATTTATGCGTTCACTTGCAAGTAGCAGAGACTGCAATTTAGGGGACTTCAACATCGCTGTCATCTCCAAACCCAAAGCTGAAACCGCCTCCTTCGGCGGCCTCACCTCCGTCTTGCTCTGGGTTTCCGTGCACAATTTCGTCCCATTTCCGTTTCTTCCCCTCGTTCTTCTTCTGCAGCTCTGCCTGCGCCTGTTCCAAGAGTTCAGGGTGCGATTTCTGCATCTGCGCCACAAACCGTTCGTAGGGATTGTTTACGTCCTTCCTGAAACCTGAAATCTGGTCGGCCTTGTTAGACAAGAAGTCCAGCGCAGCGCTCAGATGGGCACGGGGTATGAAGTTCTGAGTAATGGCAATAGCCGGCTCGATGTTGACGACCAAGTGCCACCATCCCGAAGGAACGTGGAGAATCTCCCCCTCGTGACAGATCCCCTCAATACAGCCTGGAGTGCGTCGTGCCTCCGCGTGGAAGCCAAAAAGCCACTCAGCAATGCTAAGAGGGGAAGTCACTTCACTCTGATCGTCTGACACATAGACACCCGGAGGCGGCGGGAGCTTCGAAGACGACGGGAACATGATCCAGTACTTCGAGCCACGGACAACCGCGTTCCAGGCACTGGTAGCATTCGGGTCCTTGTGAAATGTACTTCCAGACCGCTCGGGTCCAATGATCAGCCACTGCCTGTCAGGGCGATCGTTGCCCAGCACGGAGAAGAAGTCTTCTCCAAAGCAACCGGGAGGCCAGTAAGTGGCTTCAGGCTCCTGGTCCGGTTGACCGACCTTAAGGCCCATCTTCGAGACAAAGGCCCGGTCGAACAGGTAAAGAGGACTCTCATCGGAGTTGTTGTGCATGTAATCGACATAAGTATGGAAAGGCCAATCCACTGCCTCTGCACGGAAGACAACCTCGCCGTAGTGATCTAGTAGCATGTTTACGGACCATTGCTTGTACGCTGGCCATTGTTTCACCGGCTCAGTCAAGATGAAGGGCGTGTCGCTCCATTTTTCATTGAACTCCTCGAAAGAGAGATCGGGGAGACGAGCAATTTGGTTGCGGGCAGGGATATTCTTGATGTAGGGATCTAGAGATATGTGGGCGCAGTGGAAGGGTCGGTGCAGGACATCCGAGAATAGATTCGAGCAGTCCAGGATGCACTCTTCCGATGGAGGAATGTTAAGATAAGTTGAACGCCATGTTCCTTTCCATGAGAACGAAGCGGGAGGAGACCTAACTGAAGCGTTAGTACAATGCCCCAGGCCGTCTAGCTGTAAATCTATAAATGTGATGAGAGCAAATTGCCATGTCCCACAATGCAACAGAAATAAAAGAGTAGTCCTCTCGCAAGCAGATGCAGACAATTACAATAATGTAAGAACAATAGATCTATATCTCACCCGATAAAAAGAGCTTTCCAGAGATCCTCGGCTCTGGTAAAAGCATAAAATGCCTTGCATGACTGTCCAATATTCAACAAACTGGGCCCGTCGAGGTATTCCAGCAACATCAATATCGACTCATCCGGTAGGATATTAAAGGTCCCAATTGCATGGCGCAGATTCTCTGCGGCGAGCAAGGCATTGCCACTGGGTTTCACGCCCAGAGGATGGCCAGGAATTTCTTCATGGCCAGACAGATCCTCAAGATTAGATTCCGGATGCGACGAGTAGCTATGAGCAGCCACCGCACCGCCGAGAGGACGAGCACTGTCCAACGAATTGATATCCGGCATTTTCATGATTATTATTTGAAGAAAAAGGAAGGGACGGGCATTGAATTCTAGGAACTTTCCCAATTCGGTGGGGAACGACTAGACCGGTCACAGACCGGGCGGCGGTGGTGGTACAGACTAGTAAGAAAACCGCCCACACAACCAACGGCCAGGGCTGTCAGGCAGGGAAGATACCGGGGGTCTTATGCCCAACCCACCGATAAACAACACGCCTGTGGACTTTCGAAGCGGCAATAATACGTCCTACGCAGTAAAACACATGCTTCCTAGGCATCGAAAGTATTACCAAATATTTCCCTCCGTAGTTCAGCCAGCGAATAAGGAAATCATGGCGAAATTCCCACAAGGCAAGTACGTGGGTAGGTTGCCCGATGGAGAAGGCGGTGCGTATCGGTTAAGCTAAATTGGCGCTAAAAATCAAAAATTTCACCGCGACAAATGGAAAAAATGGCAGACGCAGGGAAAGAAAAGGGAAGAAGGGAAAAAAAAAAAAAGTTCGCAGTGCTCGTCCCGCCGCTTCTGCTCCCCCATTTTCCCACACCATCTTCGGTGATCCAACTTGAACTTCTTTTCTCTTCCCACCCCTACGACTTTTGAAGTCTTTGTGATATCTCTCATCCCCGAGAGTTGTGCTGCCAGGTTCGTTGCTCTCTTCCCAGTGTTTCTCTGCGCATTGCGCCCTCCCCCACCATCCTCGCCTATCGCTAACAAGCCTTTTCCAGTTTTACTCCCAAAACCCCACCGTCTTCGATCACAGCATCTCGCCTGTGATCTTTTCTCAACAACACCGCAATCATGGCTTCTAACGACAAGGGCTTGGAGGAGATCCCCGAGGGTATGTGCTACTAAAACATCTTTTGCTTTATGCTTTTTTTTCTTTTCCTACAAAAGCGAGTTTGTGGTTTTTATCGATCACTTTGCTGGAGATTGGGGCTCGCTCCCAAGTCAGCAGAGGAAAGAGAGATAACCGCCACATTCCATCATCGGAACATCTTTAAAAGAAACAAGCTGACCAGAAACTTCACCTCAATAGGACAGATCGAGACTAACTACGATGAGGTTACCGACTCTTTCGACTCCATGGACCTGAAGCCCGAGCTGCTTCGCGGTATGTGATACAAATTTTATCATCGCCCTGGTGGGGTCTGTGCCAACATGTTCTGACGACGTCCAGGTGTCTACGCCTACGGTTTTGAGCGTCCCTCCGCTATCCAGCAGCGTGCCATCAAGCCCATCATTGCCGGTACGTCTCCCCCCGGCGCGATCGCCCATAATCTATGATGCTAACTAGAGCATCCCAGGCCACGATGTCATTGCTCAGGCTCAGTCTGGTACCGGAAAGACTGCCACTTTCTCCATCTCCGCTCTCCAGAAGATCGACCAGGAGCTCAAGGCTTGCCAGGCTCTGATTGTCGCTCCCACCCGTGAGTTGGCTCAGCAGATCCAGAAGGTCGTTGTCGCCATTGGTGACTTCATGAACATTGAGTGCCACGCCTGCATTGGTGGTACCAACGTCCGTGACGACATGAACGCCCTCCGCGCCGGCCCCCAGGTCGTTGTCGGTACCCCCGGTCGTATCCACGATATGATTGAGCGCCGTGTCCTCAAGACCGACCAGATGAAGCTCTTCATCCTCGACGAGGCTGATGAGATGCTTTCTGTAAGTCCATACCAGATCTGGGCCCAGGGAAGACGTGCCTTTGCTAATAAATGTGATTAGCGTGGTTTCACCGAGCAAATCTACGACATCTTCCAGCTCCTCCCCCAGTCTACCCAGGTCACCCTGCTGTCCGCTACCATGCCCCAGGATGTCCTTGAGGTCACCACCAAGTTCATGCGTGACCCCATCCGTATCCTGGTCAAGAAGCAGGAGCTTACCCTTGAGGGTATCAAGCAGTTCTACATTGCTGTTGAGAAGGAGGAGTGGAAGCTCGACACCCTCTCCGATCTCTACGAGACCGTCACCATCACCCAGGCCGTCATCTTCTGTAACACCCGCCGCAAGGTCGACTGGCTCACTGACAAGCTCACTGCCCGTGACTTCACCGTCTCTGCCATGCACGGTGACATGGAGCAGGGCCAGCGTGATGTTATCATGAAGGAGTTCCGTTCCGGATCTTCCCGTGTCCTGATCGCCACTGACCTTCTGGCCCGTGGTATCGATGTCCAGCAGGTCTCCCTGGTCATCAACTACGACCTTCCCGCCAACCGTGAGAACTACATCCACCGTATCGGTCGTGGTGGTCGTTTCGGTCGTAAGGGTGTTGCCATCAACTTCGTCACCGCTGACGATGTCCGCATGATGCGTGAGATTGAGCAGTTCTACAGCACCCAGATCGAGGAGATGCCCATGAACGTTGCTGGTAAGCTAGCCTTCACCCACACTCTGATTATCGTATCTTCCATACTGATTTTTGGTTCTAGACCTCATCTAAACACCCTAATACCATCACCTAACGTCCCTCGATGCGGATTACGAATGCAGTTGCCAATAACGCTCCAAGGGTGAGCTGCGGTGGGAAAGACGTTTTGACATCGTTGCGCTTCTCTTGGTAAAGGAGAATCCTTCAAAAAGTGGCTTTCTGTGTCTCCAGCATTTTCTCTTTCAGCAGTGGCGAGCGGGAACCGTCTAATCTGCGTGTTTCTGTCTTGTGCTGTTTATGGTTTCCTTTGTCTGTTATTGCTTATGGAGATGCGACACGCTTGTGCGATTTTATTGCTGTAATTCATGGTTCTCTTCCGGAAACGCTTTTTCACACCCTTTTTCCTTTGCTCTGTACCTAGCTCGCTCTCTGGTTGGTTAAGGATGCTGCGTTCATACTTGACCAAGAGGTCGGGCCAAAAATGTGATTAGTTCAATCAGGCTTTCTTTTCCTCGAGGCACTTTGGGTGGACGAAGATATGATTATGGCTCGGACTGGTTGTATACCTGTGTTCACTAGTATAGACAAGAGAGGTACATACCATTCCATTAGTTTGTTTTGAATAGTCAATCTTCAACTCCTGGTTTTGTGGAACACGCGGTCTGAAGACTCTACTTCGTAAGATGACTACTTGAGCATATGTATACCTACCTCACCTTCCATTCTCCACCCTCCACATCCTCCGTGACAATACCATCTCAACAAACACTGTCCCCCGCGAAATCCCAACTCAAAAATAACTCCTCAATCCCAATGACCAACCCAACCCGACAACCATACTCCAACAGCCCCCGCCCATCCACCTTCCTCTGGGCCCACGAGCTCCGACGCGAGAACATCCAACTCGTGAATCAAATCGACGGCCTCAGAGCCGAGCTCGCTGCTGCTAACGATACAATAGCAAGTCTCAATCGCAGCCTCAAGAATCTAGAACTACGAGCACGCGAAGAGAATGCTAGGCTAGAGAATAGCCTGAAGGGCCTCGAAGCGCGATTCGATACTAATTTACAAAGTGGCATTGAGCGGGTTGAGGATCTCCAGGCTGAGAATCGTCAATTACGGAGTAGAATTGATGGGTTGGAGAAGGGGTGTCAGAGAAGTGCTTATGAACAAAAGAGAATGGAGGACGGTATTCGTGTGAGGTTGCTGGATGAGGTAAGAGAGATGTTGTTGGAGTGGCGGAAGGACGGGGTGAAGGTAGTGATAGGAGGAGATAGAGAGGCTGGGGATGCTGGGTCTGATGTTCTTGTTCCGGATTCGATGCCTGTTGGATCGGTTCCTGCGGGTGGTCTGGAGATTGGGCTGTCGTCGACGCTTTCTGATACTACGTGGGGGACGCCTTCTCTGGTGGATGAGGGGCACACTGGGGCATTTGGCTTGGATTTGTATGGGGTCATGAAGCAGGGTGGGAGATCGCTTGCTGAATATATGGCTGCTGCTGAGGGGATCAAACTTGGTTTGCAGACACAACGGGGTGAAGGTGAGGTTGTTAGAGCGGTTGTGCGAGGTCTCGATGATGGAAGTATACAGACTCTGATCGAGGAAGAGATGAGCCGCGCTGGGTGGACTTGGAATGCATTGAGGGACGCCATGCTGAAGGTTATTCAGGAAAGGGAACCGTCTGTACCGGAGCCAGTCATGACAAGCAAAACATCCAATGGAAATGTCAAACTCGAGTCGACCAATGCTCCTCATGTCCAACGCAAAAGGCAAAGAGCGAGGAGGTTCATACCAATTGTACCGGCTGATGAAGAGGATGAACGCATTGTCATGGAAATGTATCGCCGTTGAGGGACCGACTTACTTTTTATCATTCCAGATAGTCTATATTGGAACCGAACCAGGGTATGTATATACATTGTCTATCTGATACATATATCTCGTTCAAGACAGCCGTTTAGGTCTCACTGTACCGGTATCTACCCTCACGGTCCTTGACCTCGACCTCGATGCGACCCTCCTCGAGCTCCTTGCCATCGTACTCAATGGACGCCTTCATGACATCGCCAGACTTGACCTGACCCACGCCCTTGGGAGTACCAGTCAGGACAAGGTCACCCTTCTCCAGAGTCATGACACGGGAGATCTCCGCCAGAAGTCTGGGGATCCGGTAAAGCATCAGACCAGTGGAGTCGGCCTGGCGCATTTGCGATCCTACACTCAAGCGAAGGAAAGCATTATGAGGATCGGGAAGACGGGCCTTGGAAATCTCCTGAGAGACAGGCAGGAAAGTATCGAAGCCCTTAGCGATCGTCCAGGGGAGGCCCTTCTTCTTCGCTTCTTCTTGGACGTTGCGAGCAGTCATGTCAATACCGAGGAGGTAGCCTATAACAGCAATTGTTTTATACATGGTTAGCCATTGCCAATCATTATGATAGGCAAAAAGGAATAAAGGCATAGGAAATCATGACTGACTGTGAATCGCATCCAAAGCACCCTTATCATCATTCGGGTCCAGATCCCGAACGGTCTTGCCCATCACCAGCGCCAATTCAACCTCATAGTGCAGGTTGGTTCCCTGAGGACGCAGCACAGGACCCTCGCCGGGGCAGAGAATAGCGGAAGCGGGCTTCAAGAAGAAAAAGGGCTGCTTGGGCTTGGTGTTGTTCAGCTCTGTGATGTGGTCGCTGCGGATAACGGACTGCGGTGTTAGCTGAACCGATCGATCGTCACTCTCAACATGCGGAGGCTCGTGGTATGTAGACATACGCATAGTTTCTGCCAATGCAGATAACCTTTCTGCAATTGGCTCTGATAGCGGAGGCCATGATGATGTTCTCAATGCTTGAGGAGGAGGGGAAAGAGGAATGATTGAGGGGGTGGGAATGGAATGTAAAGGCAATGAGGCCTGGCGGATAATAATATAATCGGCCAGTCGGAGCTCGGCCGATGCGACGCACGGAAAGGTGCTCCGCGCGCTGCGTGCGGAGAGGCTCGGATTCTCCGAGATTCGGAGGGTCGAGCCGGATGATGGGGATGATAAGAGGGTTGTGTGGGGAAGTAAGTGGGATTGCGATAATGGTAGTGATTTCTGGCTCTTGAAGGACTGTAGAGGATTTGTGTAGACAATTATTTGTCTGGAATTTCTCAGTAGAAACTGTGATGAGCTGAGAATGTTTTCTTATTCTCGTTGTTCCTTACGTCACCCGCTCAGTTCATGAAGGGTGCTTCTATCACTGCATGTCAACTACACTCCTTGCACTGCGTCTGTACATAATCATCTGAATTGAATCTGGAGAGCAGGGCGTCTTGCCAGTACAGTCTATTATATCAGTTGCAGAATATCGTTCATCTCTCCTGTGATCTGAACCAAACTCGCCATGCAAGTAGCTGAGATCCTCTCCGATCTGACATCCCTACGCGTCTGTGTATGTCCTCCTTGCCATGACCCTCAACCAGTGTCTCAGCCTTCTTCTCCTTCTATATAATGGACCAATATAAACACTCGTCTCCAATACAACTTTCTGACTACCTCATCGTCAAAAAACCAACTCAACTAATATCCAACCACAGGACCACCATGACGCCCTCGCGCTCGTTACTGTTAACGAGAGAATACCCCATACTACAGCGCAACTAGGACTCAAAGCAACGAGCACAAGCCAAGCAAGCCCTGGAGCAGATTTGGGTCGCTACGAAAACGAGGACCTCATTCGCGCAAAGGAGCTCGTCGACTTGCACTACGAGTTCAAGGCCCGTCATGCATTAGGCACGGTTGATGAGGAGCTTGCGCGTGCAAGGGAAGAAGTAGCCCGAGTGTTAAGGGAACTAAGCTAGTTAAGAATAATAGCTACCTGGCTTTGACGTTATTTGTTGTTTGCGACTTCTACCTTTCATGCATTTGGACGTTTTATTTGGGCTGGCGTTATCAGTGAAGGGCTGTATGTTAATATCACTCCGAGGGAATAATATCATATAAACATACATAGTGTTTCAAAGATGCCGTAACTTCTGGGACACTATGCTGCTAAGAGTTCTTGCCAATTCTGGCACATCTTGGGCTCCATTTTTCATTGGGGTGGGGGTGGGGGTGGGGGTTGCAGTTGCAGTCACATTGGCCATCTCCATCTTCCTTAGGAGAAAGCCTAGTTTTCTAGCAACCAGATAATTTATTTACTATTGATCACTATAAGTCACAATTACCATTTCATGATGTATCTTCTTAGAATACCTACACCCTCTACTCGACATTCTCTCTCTATATACATTGACATATAACATTCATGATCTCAAATCCTGGAGTCCTCAGCAAGGATTGTGATTGAGCACATTAGATATGGGGGGTACATGTGATTGCAAGCAACTGTGCCCTTGATAACCTGATCTTCTACACTAATAGATCATTGGATATTGGATTGACGTAGTGGTGCCCTGACATCCCATTATTTGTAATAATGGTGATGAGCTTTCTGGTAATTGCTTTCCTATTCGCTTTGGACCTGGTCCTAATAAATTCATCCTGTCGATCCCTCCAGCTCTCAAATGAAGGGCAATCTGTCGAAGGCTACCTCTGAGCTTTCCAAATGGTATGCTTGGGTTGAGATATTACACAAGTGGTCCGTCAGAATCAAAGTCATACAGTTATATCTGACATGCGCAGTGCGTGGAAGAGCTGGGGCGAGTTGTCTATGTCACGAGTCCGGCACTGACGTCCTATGACAATCTTTATCTTGAATATGGTTGCATACAGCATTTCCAGGGTTTGTTCCCGGAAAGTTAGATATAACCCGGCTTCAAGAAGCCTAAGCTGAAAGGAGTCTTGGTATGTACCATCTCTAAAGTGAGGAGAATCCCAATATGTAGTTGATAGTCTACCACTCAGCTTCATAAACTGACTTATACCGAGTTGAAGCCTGAGCAATCTATCAATCTAAAGTATACTGCAAAAGATTGACTAGCAGTACTTGATGCCCCCATACCTCCTGCCCGTCCCAAGCCATTCTTTGCCCACCAGGTAAGAGCTTGCTTCAGAGCTAAGAGTCTTCTTTCTAGTATGTTGATTCCTGAAAATCCAAGCTCCTACCTCTATCTCCTGCACTGTCAATGAGCTATTTAGTTTCATCCGTGTATTGCTACTACCATTAACCGGCATTGGATCCCTCTGTTCTATCACAGTGTTACCTAAGGACTGGCCTGACTCTCAGGCTTGGCGGATGACTCTCCACGCCAACCAAAACCTTTTCAAGAATCTGTCGTCAGCAAATTGGTTATTATACTGGATTGGCGAGCTCCATACACCGAGAAATATCCCTGTAGATGGCGAGCATCTTTGAGTTGCCTCCTAGGCATCCTGGTTGTCACGCTTGACAAATGGCTTGGTACCAGTCAGATCTCTTCTAAAGGCAACGCCCTTCCACGCAGCTTTGTCAGCAGGGCTGGTCATCACTTTGGATTGAAGGATCACATACATTTGGAAGGCCCGGACCAAAAGGTCCATCAAAGTCTTTCACAGTAGCCTCCTGGGCAATCTGGACGTCACGCTGGTAAGGGAACGAGCCAGAACTATCTGGTTCAAAGTTGGTTTGAGCCACGGCGGCAGATTTCTGGCTCGAGAGGTCCTGTGAAGTCCTGCGTTAGCCGGTTGCCTAAGCTGATCCCTGAGCAGTAGACAAAGAGCTGTTCAGGGTGTGTCCATATTCTATTATTTACGGTGGGCAAGGCCAGGGTCGCAGAAACCAGCGCGAGAGCAAGGAGTGTGTATCTCATCTTGAATGTTGGAGAGGTATTATAAAATGAGGCAGGCGTGCTGTCCAGGCACAAGTGGGGTGAATTGACCGTTGGTTGAGTCAAATTGTGAGTTCTGTGTAGAGCTGATGAGAGACGTCCTGACGTTCGTTTTATACACAAGCTCGCCCTACCCTGAAGACTCCACTTTCGGGCATGTGTTTTTCTTCTCCCCGCTTTCGTGGCTACGTCGGCTCACTGATGTGAAGGGATCACATCTTCCTGTTGATCAGCATGCAGTCGTAGATGGGAAAATACGATGATCAGCCCCTAGTCCGGCGTTGGTAATCTATGGTAGTCAAGTCCATTTAGTAACTTGTGCTACGAAGGGTGGAGGGATTCATGGAACTTGTCAATCTCAACCAATCCTCGTGAGCTAAGTATGAGGCTGTATAGCAAGAGCAGATTATACTGTATGCATGAATGGTGTGATGATCCACAAATGCAACGCTACCAATGTCATCACAGCAGTCGTCAATCACCGAAACACAGTGTCGATGTATCGCAGCTATGCTCGACTGGGAGGTATCGTAACTGGGAGTATTCTGCGAGATTTCGAGTCACATCTGCCCCCGTCTCAGCTGATCGGCCAGTTCCAGTAAAGTATAATATGTAATTCCCGGTAATCTGGAATACAAGCTGATGGGGAAAAAAGCAAGTATGAGCTGAACCTCATGAGAGAGAGCTCGGCTGACTACTTAGTCTCTAACTACTTGATGCAACTACTCACTAGTTACTGCTCAGCCATACTTATCCAATGATCCAATCAATCTATCGAACTTGCAGCATACTAACCGCTCCTAATATTTACTTCTTGCGCGGAGTTTCTATACGGCACCGCGAGATACAGGCGCTTCCTCCTGTATGGGCTTGAATGAGCCCGATCCTAACAAGAGTCCTCCAGGGCCAATCTGATTGAAAACTGCTAACTGCCAATATCTGTGCATGTGCACAATTTACGCGATAGGCACGTCTCGTCTACCGCTTCTCTCAAATGATCCATGACTCTTTCATATCACTTTGACTTGTCTGTAGTCCTGTCTTTCCTCCTTTTCTCCTCTGAAACAGGCACACGGATCCACTAATCCTTCCTACCAGCACCACCTCCATCAAAAGGCCTGGGGCCACGACCTGGGCCTCAACGTGAGTGACCCTGAAGCGGTGAAGAAATTTTGGATTCATCTCGACCACTGTTCTGATTCTATCAGCCAGAGTCTGATGTGTAGCTCGGATGTATCAACCATCCACTGGCTGTGGAATGGGAGTATACCGCGGTGGCAGGCAGATAGTAGGATCGTACATACCTGCCGCAACTTTGAAGCTATACGGAACTGGGCTTTTTGAGAGAAGGGCTGGAGTGGTGGACCTCGAAGCATGGGTGCCGGACCCGTTACGCGGGGAGGTATAAGGAAACTATGCGGTTAGATAGGTGGTGTGACTGTATATTATATGTTATTATCACAGAATTTTATGACTACGGTACTATGAGTGCAGAGATTCAATGACAGCCCACACTGTCGAGAGTATAAGAGGGTATAGAGTTGGACATTATACTACGTAGTGACCAGAGGTGGTCAGGCACTTCAAGTTTCTTTCGAAAGGGGAAAAGGGGCACTGGCTTTGTCAAATATTCAATCAATTAGTGAGATACAATTGTGCTTAAGTCTGGGATAACAGGTAGATTGATACTTGAGTCCTCGAGAAGGTAAATACTAGGAGTGATATCAACTTCCCAAAAAGGCAAGATTGAAGCTATCCTCGGTCCGACTGCGACTCCGGCCTTCGGACATCGAGACACACCCAAACCGCAGTCTCGTGGCTGGCTCATCACCGCAGCTTGTTCACGCGCCGGTCGCTGCACATATTGTCGACTCCTCAATAGCTGTTGGTTCTCTTGAACTAGGACTAGAAACCATGGCGACTAGTGTGGATGCCAAACTGCTGAAGCAGACCAAATTCCCTCCGGAATTCAGCCGGAAGGTGGATATGACCAAGGTCAACATCGAGGTGATGAAGAAGTGCGTTGCAAAAGCCCCAGCTGAGTTTCTTATCGCGAGGTGCTGTTATCATCCGGATCTGGAACTAACATTTGACTATTGCAGATGGATTGCTGGAAAGATCTCCGAGATTCTGGGAAATGAAGATGACGTCGTTATTGAGCTCTGCTTTAACCTTTTGGAAGGGTCGCGGTTTGTATGTACGACCTTTTACCTTTTGCCTTTGATGCTGATTTGCTATGTTTTACTCGGGGTTCAGCCATTCAAGCTAACTGGTTTCACTTTGCATTATCTCAGCCCGATATCAAGTCCCTGCAGATTCAGCTCACCGGATTCCTGGATAAAGATACTGGCAAGTTTTGCAAAGAGCTGTGGTCGCTATGCTTGAGTGCCCAGGAAAACCCCCAGGGCGTGCCCAAGGAGTTGCTGGAGGCGAAGAAACTGGAACTTATCCAAGAGAAGGTGGGATGACTCGCGGATGTCTGGGATGTTGGTCGCATGCTGACGCCTTCGTTATTTAGATCGAAGCGGAAAGAGCCGCCGAGGAAGCCCGCAAACAGAAGGAACAGGAGCGCGCACGAGAACGAGAACTTGAAGACCTTCGACGCAGAGAACGGTCTGAGCGCACAAGGGGAGGAAGAAGAGGCGGTGGTCGCGGTGGTCGAGACTTTGATAGGCGTCGGTCGCCTCCGCGACAACGCAGCCGTGACCGTTTTCGAGGTCCGCCTGGCAGACGAGAGTTCGATTCCTACGTGCCCTCAGGCTCTCGTAGAGGCCGTCGGCCATCCCGTTCGCCCAGCCGCTCTCGTTCTCGCTCCGTGTCTTCCTCGCGCTCACCCCCACCACGTCGGCGCCATCCTGGCAACGACCGGAACCGACGACGTCGGTCGATTAGCGGCTCTGTCTCCCCGGACCGCGGTGATCGCAGGAGGCCCAGGAGACGCAGCCCTGATTACGGTGATCGTGCAAGATCCATTACCCGCAGTGAATCATCACGCTCACGTAGTCCCAGAAGAGACCGACGGAGACGGAGATCCGTTTCTTCCCGCAGTGCATCGCGTTCACCTGTCTACAGGGATCGACGCAAGAGGAGAGGTTCTTCAGCATCGAGGTCCCGTTCGAGGTCGCAAGGGTCGGATGGTAGCGGCACCAGACGCAGAGGATCATCGCCTCACTCTTCACGAGATGATAAGAAAGAATCCACCGCTGATATTGCAAAGGCCCGCAAGTCCCGTGACGACCGCCGTTTGAGTCGCAGCAGAGATCGCAATGACACCCGCAGACGCCGGTACTCGTCCCAGAGTGTTAGCCGCAGCCGCAGTCGAGATCGCTCCCGCAGCGCCAGCCAGGACTCCCGCAGTCGGAGTCGCAGCCGCAGCCACAGCCGCATGAGAGATAGGAAGCGGCGTCGGTCCATTGAGAGATATGCCCCAGTTGCGCGGAGACGGCGCAACACGTCCTCCGTATCCGTCCCCAGTGATAAACGAAAGAGGATGGCTGATGAAGACGAGGATGCCGCCAAACGATCACCACCGCAGGCTGAGAAGCCGAGCTCGAGCGACCAAGAGATGAAGGATGCCACTGAGGTGGGTGAATGATTTCTGAGGGTCCTCTTCACACAAATTCTATGATTTCCTAAGTTCGTTCAACGCCCAAAAAAACCTGCATTGCTCCTCTCACCGTAAAGACCTAAACTAACCACCTAATCACAGACTGCTGCTCCCTCCAATAACCCAGCTCGTGTACGCATCTCCAGCTCCGAACTACGCGAGAAGCTGCTCCGCGAGAAGATCATCGCGATGCGCCGGACCGCCTCGAGCGACAAGGTAGGTAGCTCTGCATCTTCAAGGTAGTCTACATGCCCTACCATTCAGGGCGCACACACACACACACACACACACACACACACACACACACACAGCTTCACCTACATAAACCCACATACCAAAGTCCCACTAAAAGAGCGAAGGATTGGAGGATTCCGCAACTCAATACTTAGCGATCTATGCACACGTGGTAATGTCACTATAAACAATAAACAAAAAGAGAGTTTGCGTCCTATGCCTGTCTCAGCAATATCTCCGTTAATAGTCCATCCAACCCCTGTGCCATCATAGTTTAATTCATTTTTCTGCAAAGTTCAGACCACGCAATCCCAGTCCCGTGGAACGAACAGCAAAGTTTTCTTGGCAAATGAGATAGTAGTCTAATTCTACAGTAATCCCAAATATTAGTCCGGGGGAACCACTACTAGCGCACTTCATTTAAACAAAGTTCACCCGGCACGCGACCGTTTTCGGGGGATTCTCCACAAGGCTAGGTTGACTATTAATCTCGGGCTGATCGACTATTGAGACTATTGTTTGTCGGTTATTTAGACCGTTGAGCCGTTGGTATAGAGATGCTCAGTTAATGGGAGATCTTAATATGGTGGTTGGTTGTGGTGGTTGTTAGCTGGGAGGGAGCCAAGTATGCCCCTATTCCACCTTCTGAGGAGCCAGGGGGATATGGGAGTAGATTCGGTAACGCATTAATGTACTGTAGAGTAACAGGGTATGGTATCTTGCATTCAGTAATTAGATAGGGGAAATAAATAGTGCCATTGAGCACGCCCTTCAATATTGGTGCATGTTTCCAAGTGCCTCCTATATGGACAATGTTAAGACCTGGTAAGGATTAGCGTTGAAGGCAGACTGTATGTTAGACTACTCAGCCCGAGTCCGGCTCCTACATGGGTGAATAGTAGATAGCAGAGCCATGTCACGCTCTATAATAAGAATAATAATAACACAGAATTTTATACTGTAGGTACTGAATCACGCCTAGGAAACTGTCGAATTCGTATCGAGGGGCACTTGGGGGGGGGGGGGGGGTTATTCACCAGTTGGTGATAAAACCTAGGTGAGTTGTACAAATCAACTACAACATCAAATCATGTAAAAATCGTGTAATCTACTGCAGTCTAGATAGAAAGTTAGATAATCCTAAACAACCGACAAACTTCCTCTCGTCATCGTATCCCTTTTCCCCTTAACCTCGTGACGAACGAACAAACAAACTATACTAACAGCCCCCTATAAGTTAACCATCATCAGCACAGACACTAATCCTAACGAGCACAATCCATTCAGATAGGAACAATAAATAATAATAAAATGTCTTAAGCATTACACCCACCTACAAAGAGCAGCGACGATCACCAGGACACATATAAGATCATCTCGATAAGAGCTTAAGCACACATACATACCCACAATAGTAGTGACTCCATAATGCCAGTACCGGTTCCCACTGTATACTTGTCCCAGATAATGAATGACGTGCGCCCATCACCCCCCACAGCCCTATATAGGTATTATAGTATAATAATATTATTGTAGAAAATAAGCATCCATTTAATAATAGTCAATTAATTAACCACCCATTCGCACAGATAATTTTAGTAGTAAGTGGATAGCATGCAAAGCACGAACATCCCATTTCATCCCGTCTCCAATCTCCTCCACCATGCTAACTAGTCAATCCTAACTCAAGTCACTACGGTGTACACATCAGCTCAGAATCATCTCTCTTCGTCAGCTTACCCACTGCGTGCCGCTATCATGACGTACCCTGTATCCCGTCCTCAGCCGCTTGATGATGAGGTAGTGACATTTCGTGGCTGTGTCGCGTTCTCTAATTGTGATCGACTGAGTAGTGTTTTGCTCAGACCTTGTCAGCTGAGTGGGATGAGGTGGTTTGGTTCTGGAACGTTGATGAGTAAAGACAGACAAACAAACAAACAGGCAGGGATTCGTATTAGAGGGGCATTCGTTCGTTCGTTGGTTTGGCTCTAATCACGATGGACGGGATCGTCGGGGGCAGGGGAACTGTCTTACTAAGAACGAGGATTGTCTGCTTGATTACTGCTTTGGGAGTTTGGGGCAGAAGGGGGCCGCTTATGTTGTTGCTAAGAAATCAAGATCTACTTGGCATGGAGATACGCTGGTTTGGCATATCGAATCGAGATTAAGAAAAAAGAAGAAATGAACATTCAAGACGAGGCTGGCTTTCGCTCAATCCTCCATCATAAGTACTGTACAGGTATTCAAATAACACATCATTGCATCGGCAAAGCGAATGGACTCCATTGGAGGGAAAGGTGGGATAGTATCAAACAATCAAGCCAGAAAATAAAGATTTGTACCTGCTTCGCCACTATAGACATCCTGCTTCCCTCGCCTTGTACAAATTCGAGCAGATATTCAAGACAATCTTCACAATAATTAGAATTAGAAAATTAGGTATATACAGGAGGACTATTCACCATTGATGCCGTTGCTATCGTCGTAACTTGTAGGCTGCTGTTGGAAGCTTACCAGTCGCAAGCCGAAACGCTCACAGTAGCAGTGACGGTGACAGTAACCACCTCAGTCTCAGAGCCAGAGCCGGAACCGGAGCCGGAGCCAGCGACGGGAGCGGTGGTGATCTGAGGAGAGGAACCGCCCTCAGTAGCCGAGGTGGCAACGGGGACAGGAGTCACGGTCTCGGTAGCGACAGGGACGACAGTCTGGCCGGTGATGGTGTCGCAGGGAGTGGTGGAAGCACCAGCGCTGGCGCCCTCAGGGACGCTGGCAGTGGGAACAGCAGGGACGCTAGCAGCGCCGGAGGGGACGACACCACCGCTGGGGGCGGGAGAGCCACCGCTGGGAGCGTTGCCAGAGCCAGACTGAGCGGGAGCGGCAGGGGTCTCGGAGGGGCTGACACCGCTGGGGGCACCAGGGGCGCCAGACTCAGCAGGGGCACTGGGAGCGGAACCGCCCTCGGTCATGGTAGCAACGGGAACAACAGTCTGGCCGGTGAGGGTGTCGCAGGGAGTGGTGGAGGCACCAGCGCTGGCGCCCTCGGGGACGCTAGCAGTGGGAACAGCAGGGACGCTAGCACCACCGGAGGGAACGACACCGCCGCTGGGGGCAGGAGCGCCACCGGAGGGAGCAGGAGCACCAGACTGGGCAGGAGCACTAGGGGCAGAGCCACCCTCGGTCATAGTAGCAACGGGAACAACAGTCTGGCCGGTGAGGGTGTCGCAGGGGGTGGTGGAGGCACCAGCGCTGGCACCTTCGGGGACGCTAGCAGTGGGGACAGCAGGGACGCTAGCACCACCGGAGGGAGCACCGGGGGCACCAGACTGAGCAGGAGACGAGGGAACGACACCACCGCTAGGAGCAGGAGCACCGGACTGAGCGGGAGCAGAGGGAACAACACCGCCAGACTGAGCAGGGACACTGGGGGCAGAGCCGCCCTCGGTCATAGTAGCAACGGGAACAACAGTCTGGCCGGTGATGGTGTCACAGGGGGTGGTGGAGGCACCAGCGCTGGCGCCCTCGGGGACGCTAGCGGTAGGAACAGCAGGAACAGAGCCGGAGGGACCGGCGGGAACAACGCTACCAGAGGGAGCAGCACCTCCAGAGCCAGAGCCGGACCAGGAGCCGGAGCCGGAGCCGGAGCCGGAGCCGGAGCCGGAGCCGGAGCCAGAGCCAGAGCCAGAGCCAGAGCCAGAGCCAGAGCCAGAGCCAGAGCCAGAGC